GAAACTGTGTTCTCAGGGCCATATGGGGCCGGTGGTGACAGTTGCTATGGGATTCCCCTTAAGTGACATATCAGTCCCGTGGTGCTATAGAGGATTTAATTCTCACCAATTTATAGAGCAAGGCATTGCTTAACTCTCATTGATTTATTTATTAGTAAGATTAGACTTTTTAAAAAACTTGTACTTTAGTTTAAAAATAATAAAGCACTTACCATTCATTAATGCTAAATGCTTTTTGTGTAATGTATATCTTTTTTTCTTTACAACAACCTTATGAAATAAATACTATTATCATCTCCATTTTACAGATGAGGAAACAGGGCCACAGAGAGATTAATTAACTTGTCTTAGGTCACACAGCCATTAAGTGTTGGTTCCATAATTCAAACCCAGGTCAATGTTATTCTGAAGACTATACTATTAATAATTTTTAAATATAGCAATAATACAAGTGAAGTTTTCATTTACCTTTCATATCTTATTTACAACCTATGACAACTCCGTGATGAATGTAGGTGGTATTATCCTTAGGAAACTGAGGCTCAGATAGATTGTGACTCATTCAATCATTATTTAATAGATATTTTTGAGTGCTTATGGTATGCCTGGCACAGTACCAGCCCTGATAACATACTTGTGTCCAGGCAGAAGGCAGTGCAGGTTAGAAGCATGGAAGCTGGAGTCTGACACATCTGGATTTGAGTTTTGCTTCCATAACTTTACTCATTTATTTATTTATTTATTCAACACATATTTATCGGGTGCCTATTATGTTCCAAGCATGTGTGTTAGTTGTAAGGCCAACTATGGTGTTTTGTGTGAGTTGTTTAACCTCCCTATGCTTTAAGCCCTCAGTTGTCAAATGAAGATAATAATGATAGCTACCCCACAGTTAGGCTGAGGTTAACTGGTGAGGGATGAACAAATCAGATTTCATTGGTATTAAAAAGTAAAGTGGAAATAGCATAGGACCAGAGTCAGAGAACTGTCAATACTGTTTTCCATGTGGCTGTACCCACAGTGGGTAGGAGTTCCCTTTTTTCTACACATTAGGGAGAACTGACTAATTGGAGTTTCTCTCTCTCTCTCTCTCTATGTGTATGTATATATATATATATATATATATATATACACATATATGTATATTTCTCTTTCTCCTCCTCTTCTCTCTCTCTCTCTCTATATATATATATATATATGTATGTGTGTGTATGTGTGTGTGTATTTTTCTTTCTCCTCCTCTACTCTCTTCCTCCCTTGACTTCCTGGCCCACGGTTGGCTAAGAAGAGTAGGAGCCCACGGTAGACAGCATGTCATCCATTCCTGACAGCCTCAGTGCTATTGTATGGGCCTGGCAAACCCATTCAGATAATGACAGTGTTGCAGAATTAGAGCACTCCCTCCAACATGGCTTGAATAATTTCAATATATATTTAATTTAGGATTTGACAGCTGGACGGAAACCCCAAGATCTTTCTGTTATAGGTTGAATATGCTCAGCCACAGTAGCAGATGCACTTAAACATATCATGGCTCAGCCTAATGGAAGTTTAATTTTTGCTCACATAACAGTTCAAGAAGGTTCTAGCTTGGCAGAGGTGGGTGGGGTCATTGTTCTGCTACACACAGACTGATGGCAGAGGTGTTGTCATCTTCAACTTACAGCTTCTAGGGTTGCTTGGGGCTGCCAATGGAGGGAGCCAGAAGATAAAAGAGCCCTGAGCAGTGCTAATGGGAGAGTTCTGTGGGCCAGTCCTGAGACTTGTACATTTCCCTTTTGTTCCTATTTTGATGGAAAGAACTTAGACATATGGCCTCAGGGATGCTGGGAAATGTAGCTGAGCTGTGTGCCATGTAAAGGAGAATGGGTTTTAGTTCACAATTCTCAGTCGTTGCCACAGTTTTCAAGGTTATTTCTGTCTCTCGAGGAACAACTACACCTAAGTCACCCAGTCGACTTTCTCTCTTTAAGTTTTTCTAGGGAAGAAAAGGTCTTGGTGACCCTCAACCAATCTGTTTTGATGATTAAAAGAAAGTAAAAATAAATCTGACAAAGCAGACAGACAGCCACTGAAGATCAAGAGCTAACTGTCACCATCAACATCTTTATTTATATCCACTTTAGTTTTAGAGTTTTTAGCGAGTTGGATAATAAGTTGTCTTGTGTTATTAATATTCATAAGACTATGCTTTTGAAAGAATATTAAGAAGACAGAAAATTTAGATTTTTTTTAGTTTCTAAAATTGTATTCATCATAAACATAATGGTATAAAGATATAGAAAAATAATTGTATATTGAATTATCCAACTACATCTAAAAACAAGACTAAAAGATTTTGAAAATGGTTTTCCAAAAGTTCGTTAACCTATGAATGATGTTTTAAATTGAATCATAATCAAGAACACAAAGAAGTTAACTGTGGGTAGTAGGATTATTGAATTTTTTTATTATGCTTTTAGGTGTTTTCCAAGTTTTCTATGCTTTTGGTATATAATCGCCCCATCATTAGGAAAAAATGCTATTTTTAAAGAGAAATGAACAAATCAGATTTCATTGGTATTAAAAAGTAAAGTGGAAATAGTACAGGCCCAGAGTCAGAGAACCCTCAATATTGAATCTCTGCTCTGCTCCTTGTTGTTTATATGGCATTGGCCACTTTTTAACCTCTCGGAACCTCAGTCCTCATCTGTCAGTGAATGTTTCCACCTGCCTTCCAGGTTTGTGTGAGGGTTAACATATTGAGGGTTAACATAACAAATTGATATAATCACTTATTAATTCTCTTCTCTCCTCTTCCCTTCCCTTCTCTTTCCTACCCTTCCTTTCTCTCTATTCTTTTTCACCAGTTAGAAATATAACTTGGGGTGAGGGGTGTGGTGGGGAGGACAGAATGCTATGCTGAAGTTCCTAAAAGCATTTAATAAATGATAAATTACAAAGTCGTAAGGGTCTTCCTACAGTGTCTTGGTGATAGCAGTGAATGAATTCATTAACATAAAACAGGTAAGGAGAAAATTAGACAAGAAGAGGGCTGAGATCCAGTAAGAAAACATTTCAAGAGTCTATGGAATTGTAATTTAAATTCTCATCTGCATCTCATTATCTTAATAATCCAAAACAATAGCCCTACAATCCTTGCACAGGAGGATGGGAAATAATTTCCTTGGACAAGGTCTCCGGCCTCTCTATCACAAAAAATATTATTTCCAAATGTTGAGTGTCAAGGGAGTGTTTCACATTCTCCTAACCATTAAATAGTTTGGCTTCCTTCGGGAAAGGGACAAGTTTGGCAAGTCACAAAGCAGCTGGTAGAAGAGACTTCTCTGGAATTCCAACGCACCAACAGAAATACAGCATGTGGAGCCTCCAGAAAGAGTGCTTTATCCAATCTACATCTTCCTTTTGGAGTCTTTACAGACAAAACTCAGTTCAGCAGGCCATGTCAGATTTATTTCACTTTTTTCTCCTGGGAAATTTAATGTTTTTCTAAAACTGTTTTATTTTGAAATATTTCAAACTTACAAAGGGGTTGTAATAGTACAAAGGATCATAAATTCTTCAAATGTTACTACATTAGCACATGTGCTTTCCCATTTTCTCTTTCTCTCTGTAGTTATATATGATTGTTGTCAATACTATTGTCTTACCATTTGCTAGCAAGTTGCAAATATGATTAACCCCTATATATTTCTGTGTATGTGTACTGAAACACATATATGCTTTTCTTACTTAAACGCAGCACAATTATTACAATCAGGGAATTAACACTGCTATACTATTTTCTCATCTTCAGATCTCCTTCTAATTGCCACTGTCCCAACAATAGACTTTAGGGCAAAAGGATCCAATCTGGGATTAGGACTCAACATTGTTGAAGAATATAAACCAGCTATTTTGTATAAAGTCCCTTAATTTGGATTTGCCTACTGTTTCCTCATAAGTATTTTCAGGTTATGCATATTTGGCAGGAAGACACACTGGTTCTTTCTCAATGTATGATTATACTTGATGTCAATTTGTCCTATTAGACCGTCCTAATCTTTATGTTGTTGTTCTCTTTAGTAATTAAAAAATCTTGTAAGGAGATACTTGGAGACTGTGTAAATATTGTGTTTCTCCTCAAACTTTTACCCACTAGCTTTATCTTTTGAAATATTTTAGAATTTGACCCTTTGTGTAACGTTTAGCTAAACATAACAAAGATTTACTATTAGTGAAAGTTCATCTCCCCAGAAAGCCATACATAGAAGGGTGCTTTCTGAGGCACAGGAGGCAGCCCAGTGACAAAGCTCCCATGCCCCCGAACAGGCTTGTTCTCTTGGGTGTCTCTGAAGTTCGATATGCTTCCAGAGATTTCTTCCACTCCCACTGGGAGAGGAATCTTTCAAACAGTCCTCCAAAATGGAAGTTGGGACAAACTGGCCCCCTGCCATCCTCCAGAGATTCTCCCTTGCCAGTCTCACTCCCATCCCTGAGAATGTCCTCTGGTGGTTTGTTTTGGGGTCTTGCTGCAGAGCTTTTGTTTTTTCATGTCTGTGGATCTTTTTATAATGGCTTCTCATTGTTTATGTTGGAAATCACCGACGTCGCCTCTGGCAGGGGCCTAAGCTCTGAGCCCATGTCTGAACTGAGAGACTAGAGTAGTGGGGGGCCTTGAGGAAACGAGGGGGGCAGTGGAATGCTGGGGGCCACTAAGGGGCCACGTGACGGCCCCCTGCCACCACATGGGAGCTCCGTCTCTTTATTCTTCAAAAGACCCTATGAAACTGAAAATGCAAATAGCTTGGGAGAAGTTGCCCCATAACATGACAGACTCCTCTCCTCAGGAGGACATGTTAGTTTGTCTGTGTGGATGTGCCCTGGTCCCTCTGGTTTCCAGTGTCAAGAATGAGAACTGGTACCCAGTGGAGCCCAATGACAGAGTGATCACAGCCACAGAGCAATTTTATACAGTTTATCACAGAAAAGAAAGAATGAAAGTACAGAAGGAAGCTACACAAAGTGAAAGTATGTTCCAGACAGTGAAATGAGTCAGTCTCCACGAGTGGAGAAAGACACCAAAGTCTATGCACATATCGCCTTTTGTAAGCTCACTGGTCTGTCCTGCCTTTCTCCTGGCAGGATTGGTTGTAGGTTCCCACCTTTGGGAGTGATTGACAGGTTGGCGTTATATGACAGGTGACATAACAGGTTATATAACAGGGATTGGTTATGTAATGGTTTCCTCACTGGGCATGCATTTCCCCAGAATTCTTCATGAAGCCCCACCCATTTATGCTAATTAGATGGTAATGAGCTCTAGGTCAGTTAAAAGTTACTAGGAACTTTTTACCTTGTATGTTCCCACCAGAGAACAGTTCCTAGCCACAGTTTGGTTCCTAGGTCAATTCAGTTCCCACACTATGCCCTTAGCTACTTCCCTACCACCTGTTTACCCTCCACCAGACCTAACAGAGCCCCTGCCTGCTTGGGATCTTCCCACCACAGTCCCCTGGGCACTAGGTCTTGCACTTTCCCTCCAACTGCCACCTGTGTGAGAGCTTCCATTGGGTCTGACAGAAGGAGTGACACACCCTTGGGGTCCGCCTTTTCCTTTCAAACCCTGCTCTTATTTAGAAACAAATGGGGGGGGGAGGTAAGAATGTAGAAAGAAATTAACATTCTTTTCTGTCTGCCTAGGGTCCAGTGGGGATTTCAGGACCTGCCACCATCACTTAGAAGGCCAGTGCTGGAACTGCTGAACTCAGCCCGGGCACCGGCAGCCACACTTCGCTCCAGAAAAGGTCAAATACATTCTGCCTTTTCTCTTCTCTTCTCTTCTCTTCTCTTCTCTTCTCTTCTCTTCTCTTCTCTTCTCTTCTCTTCTTCTCTTCTCTTCTCTTCTCTTCTCTTCTCTCTCTTTCTCTTCTCCTCTCCTTCCTCTCCTCTCCTTTCTTCTTCTTCTTTCTTTTTCTTCTTTCCTTTCCTTCTTTCCTTCTTTCCTTTCCTTTCCTTTCCTTTCTTTCCTTCTTCCTTTCCTTTCTTTCTTTCCTTCTTTCTTCCTTTCTTTCCTTCCCTCCTCCCTCCCTCCCTCCTCTCTTCTCTTCTTCTTTTTCTTTCTTTCTTTCTTTCTTCTTCTTTCTTCTTCTTTCTTCTTTCTTTTCTCTTTCTTTCTTTCTTCTTCTTCTTTCTTTCTCTTCTTTCTGCTTTCTGTCTTTCTTCTTTCTTCTCCTTCCTTCTCCTTCCTTCCTTCCTTCCTTCTCCTTCCTTCCTTCCTTCCTTCCTTCCTTTCTTCCTTTTCTTCCTGTCTCTCTCTTCTTTGTTTTTCTCTCTCTCTCTCATCTTTTAAAAGAGAATTGTGATATAAACTGAAGTACAAGGGGTAGTTCTTTTCAAAAATAAGTTTATTGAGATATAGTTCACATACTATACTATTTATCCATTTAAAGCACACAATTTGATGGAATGTATTTACTGAGTTGTGCAACCACCACCACAATCAATTTTAGCACATTTTTATCACTCTAAAAGGAAACTCATACCCATTAGTAATGACTCCCAAAGGGTAGTTTCAAAAATGGCAAACCTTGTGTTTCTTGAGCAATAGCTGCCATGTTTTGTTCTCTTCCTATGTTTAACTATTCAGTTGCTATCTTCTAGCTGAGCTGTACCTGCAGTGGGCTCTGGTGAAGACTTAATTAATTGTTGGCATCTATGCAGTTCAGTTTTCTTCTCTAGGGGGCACTAATTTGAACTTGTGCTTAGTACATTTGATTTTGAATGTCTTCTGACTTTTTCCCTAGGAGAATCATCCTTAGGAAATGACAGAATTATGTGAACCATCTTTGTTAGGATTTCCAGTTTAAGTAGCACTTTCACATATACAATGTGGTTTTATTCTCCAAAACAACACTTAAAAGTAAAAATAACAATAGCAATCATTTATAAAGTGTTTATTCTGTGCCAAGCATTTCTAAGAGTTCCCCATATGTGCATTAATTCATCTAATCATACTGTGGTCTGAATGTGTCCCCCAAAATTCATATGTTGAAGCTTAATTGCCAATGTGATAGTGGGGCCTTTGGGAGGTGATTAAGTCATGAGGGCATAGCCCTCACTGGTGGGATTAGTTCCTTATAAAAGAATTTGAGGGAATAAGTCCGTTCCTTCCAGCTCTCCTGCCATGTGGGGACCCAGCAAGAAGGCCCTCACTAGATACCCAGTGCCAGAGCCTCGATTGTGAACTTCTCAGCCTTCAGAGTTGTAAGAAATAAATTTCTGTTGTTTTGTAAATTACGTAGTCTCAGGTATTTTGTTATTGCTGCAGAAATGGATGAGACGACTCCTTAACCACCAGATAAGACAGGTACTGTTAAAATTAGCCAGAAGTACAGAGATGTTAAGTGACAACAAACCCAAGATCATGGAGCTAGTAAGAGTAGAGCTGAGATGTAAGTGTACATACGCAGTTTGAGCCTAATCTGGACTATAAGCACCACTCTAATTGCTTCCAGTATTCTGATTTTATAAGCAAGACTAAGTCTCTGAGAAGTTACACATTTTGAGAGGAACCTAGTTAGGACTTAAATACTGCACATGTATTCGAACCTCAATTGCATGTTATATAACCAGTCAACATGCCTCCATCAATGACGTACTTTGGTATCTTGCCAGATACATAAAATTGAATTCCTTGGCTAAGCCAAAAAAAAAAAAAGGGAAATATTTCCTATTGAAGGTTCACATCATCAAGTATATTGTTATGATGACATTAGTAGCATGCAGAAAAGCTACCAAGATGTTACAAAGTTGGCTATACTTTTGATGGACCAGGAGTATTTTTCAAACCCATCTCCAAGCTCAATTTTCCCTTCTTTGCTTTTGCCTCCCCTTTGGTAAGCTCTCTCGACTTCTCTTTCTCAGTGTCTCCTATTCACAAACAGAGAATGAAGCACATGGATTTAATAACCAAGGCAGTGATTCATGTGTACTTTCATCTAATCAGAAAGAGCAGTGGCAGGCCCAAGAACTCATTTTGGTTGTATATCATTTTAAAAGAGTTAACACACACGTCCTTTAGAGAGAAAATAATAAAATGTTAAAAGCAAAAGCCAGCGTGGACCTGCCAGCTGCAATGATTGGTTACACAGAAGAGATCCAGGGAATTCTGAAGCCATTTGGGTCTTGTTAAGTTTGCTGAAACAGCACCAACTGTGATCTCTACCACTTTCAACGGTTTAATGACTTTTGGATAAGCCTTCAGAGTTAAATGGTTAAATCACCAAATGCTCCATAAAATAATTATGCAAACAATTTTCTGGCTAATTATCTAACATGAACAGAAGCACACAGCTGCTAAGATATATAATTGCTATTTCATCAGGGCTGCCTATTGTATTTACATAATTCCTTTACTGATCTTGGTGTGGTTTGGTAGGAGAGCACTAACATGATATCTCATGAAATGAACAAGTTAAAGGAATGGCTCCAGTCCCAGCTGGTAGATAACAATAGTGACTTGCTTTGATTTTGATTTTTTTTTAAGGGAATGGTTTAGGGAATGGTTTCAAAACCATGTACATTTGTATGTTATATGTAAGTCATGGACATGTGTATTTAAAATAAGTTTGGCAGAGATAAATATTTTAACTCCATTAGATGTATGTGTACATCTAATAGAGTTAGTAAGAAAAGTAAATATCATAGAGAAGTAAATATCATAATTATACAGTTTGCAAACTGAGCACCTTCATGTAACCAGCAACCAGAGCAAGGAACAGAATATTACCAGGACCCTAGTAGATTTCCTTGTTCCTCCTTTCAGTTTTTACTCCCTGCTAGGGTAGCTACCATCCTGACTTCTATCAGCAGAGATTAATTTTACTTGTTTTTTGCTATATTTGAATGAAATCATACCGTGTGTGCTCTTTTACATCCAGCTGTTTTTGTTCACCATGTTTGTAAGATTCATCCATACTGTAATCTACTCATTCTCATTGCTGTATACTCTCCCATTGTATAAATGCACTACAATTTATTTATCATTTTACCATAGATGATACGTGGTTATATGGTTTCCAGTTTGCTGATATTATGAATACAGCTACTGTGAATAGTGTTGTACATACTTCTTGGTGAACATCTGCATACATTTCACTTGGGTCTGTATCTAGGAACGAATTGCTGGGGTGTGCATATCTTCAGCTTTATTAGATACTACCAAACACTTTTCCTGAAATATTGCACCAACTAGCACTCCTTCCAGCACTGGAGGAAAGTTAGGATAAATGTTTTGAAGAATTCTGACCAAAGCATGCTAAATTTTAAAGGGCAGTGTAGAGTAAGGAGCAGAGTAGACAGACAGTAGGGCTAATGGAGAGGACCCCAGCAATGTGGCCTGGTGAGTAAAGGATAAGGTCAGAGAAAGCAGCCTGATGGAGGAAGTAGTCACATTTCAGTCATTTAGTAGGGTAGAAGCAGCCTCCTTAGATGTTTACCACACATTCTGTGTTCGTCTGTAGCATGCAGCATGCATCCTAGAGAAACACCCTGAGCCTGTTCTCCCTTTTCTCTTCAGTATACACAGATGCATGCCCAAGGGCTGCCCAGGGCTAAAGCACCACTCTGGAGGCTTGAGGATGTCCTCCTTCTATATATAGCCATCCCTGCTGGGGCATACAAACTCTTAACACTGGTATCTTGCACCTCTGAAACAAGGGTACTATACACTAAATGTTTATATCCCCCCAAATTCATATATTGAAATCTTAACCCCCCATGTGATGGCACTAGGAGGTGAGGCATTTGGTAAGTAATTGGGTCATGAGGGTGGAGTCCTCATGAATGGGATTAGAGCCCTTATAAAAGATATCCCAGGGAGCTCTCTGGCCCTTCCATTATGTAAGGACATAGCAAGTAGATGGCCATCTACAAAGCCGGAAGTAATCCCTCACCAGAACTCTACTGTATGGACACCTGATCATAGACTCTCATCCTCCAGACTGTGAGAAAGAAACTTCTGTTGTTTATAAGCCACCCAGACTATGGTACTTTGTTATAGTAGCTCATACTGATTGTGTCAAAGGGAGATGGAAGGTGAGCAGTGAATAGCAAGCAAGAGCAATCAGAGAGCACCTAGGAGTGAATGAAAACCTGCATTGCATCTGTCTACCTAGTGTATAACGTTAAGCAGATCAGTAAAATTTTCTCACAGCTTTGGGCTACCTCAGCTGCAAAAAAATTGAAGGCAATAATACTTAACTCACTGTTTACTTGATGATTAAATTAAAATAATATGTGTGGAAATGCCTCGGAAACTTTAAAAAAGCAAACATTGTCTTTTTGACAGGATATTATTATTAATAGTCAAATTGTCACTTTAAAGTAGAAATGCATCTCTAAGAAGTGATATTTGTTTTGTTTTTCTATTCGAATTATAGCATTTGCCTTAACAGACTAAGAAATAATCCTTCTCAGTAATGTTAACAGGAGTAACAGGCAGGATGTCCGAAATCAGGACATTTACCCAAGATCACCCAGAATTCATTGCCTCGCCCACCCAGCTTTCCAGCCAGACTTACACAGGTTCATTAAGTAATTTAGCAAACGTATTTATTGAGTACTTCTTCCTTTGTTTTAGAGAAATTCTCGGAAGAGATTCTTAACAGGATTCAAAGATGGACTTCAAGTGATCTCTGAACCTTCTAATCTTGTATGAAGGGGAACGTGGGGGTGACATCTGCTATCAGATTCTCACAGGATTCTGCAAAACACTCTCTCCAAAAGAAAGATTAAGAAGCACTGCTTTAGGAATGCATGTGATAAAGCAATATGATAACTTTATAAAATAATATGTGATTGTATAGGAAACTGCAAATGAAACTGACAGCAGACTTCCTCTTAACAACAATAGATGCCACAGGATAACAGAATATTATCTTTAAAATGCTTAGGCAAAATACATATTAACTTAGAGTAATACACCAAGCTCAATTATTATTCAATTGTGATGTGGAATAAAGAGGCATTTTCAGAGACACAAACATTGAGAATTTACCAACTTTAGTCCCACATTGAAAGAACTCATAATGGATACACTTCAGGAAATCAGTAAGAAGTGCAAGAAGGAATGATGAACTAAGAAATGTGTAAATATGTTTGTAACTCTAAACAGCATTGTTGGTTTTTTTTAAGAAAATAAGTGAAGGAGTTGTTTAATAAGAAACAAAAATGCTCGATGACAATAACAGGGACAAAGACAGCAGGAGAGACTGAAATTATAAAGTCCAAGTTCATTGTGTTATTCAAGAGGAAGATAGAGGCAGGTTCACCTTAGACTTTAAGTAAGTATGCTTTTAAAAATTTAAGAGTAACTCTCAGAGTAACTCTCAAAAGAGTAACTCTTTTCCTATATATAGGAAAAACATATATAATTTCTTTTGAAAAGTACGTGAGGAAAAAGATGAAAGAACACTGGATTGATCTAACAGGAACAGGAAAGGGAAAAAATAAGATAAGGCATAAGAAATAGAAAAAACAAAATATTGTAGAAAAAGTATAGACACATTAGTCATCTCTGTAAATATAAACATATTAAACTAGTGTTCAAAAGTAGAGATCCTCAGATTATTTTTAGAAAACAAGATCCACATATGTGCTGTTTGTAAGAGATATACTTAAAACATAATAATGCTTAAAGGTCAAAAGGCTGAGTGATTAAAACTATGGTTCTCAAATGGTGGTAATGTTCACCAGGGATCGGAGGGTGAGGGAGAGACCCACATCTTAGGGAGGTGGTGAGCATTTTGGAGGGGAAGGGCATAACTCTAACCCTTCTTAGGGAGAGGCAAAGATATACAATGTAACCAAAATGTAGAAAAAAAAATATTAATTCAACATACATGTGATAGATTAATGTTAATTTCCAGGAAAGATATAAAGAGGTATAGGGTAAAAAGCCAACAAAGCAGAGGATGGAATGAAATAATTAAAATTACTTTATTGCCACAAAACAAATCATGAAAGAAGAGACAAAAGAACAGAGAAGACATCCTCATGGTAATGAGGTAATAATCTTAAATGTGTATGCATATACTAATAAATTGGGTAAATTGCAAAGTTGTCCCTAGTTTTTTGTGAAAGAGTTTCCTTTCTGCTGCTGTTACATACCAGGATTGGTATGAGGATGAAGATGTTTTCAATGATGTTTATAAGGTATGTAATTGTATATGCAATGAAGTAAATGGTATTTTCTTTCCTACCATAGAACAATAATATTTGGATTTCAGGTACTAATTGTTGTTTCTTTTTTAACTTGAAAATTAAAATGTATTTTTATGGATGTAATCTCAAGTTCATGGACTATATTTAGGATCTCCTTTGCACATTCTCTAGGCAGAGTTGTGACTTTAAATAAACTGGGTCAACAGCTCAGATATATAGTATATGTCATGGATATGATGTCCTCCATGGTGGAGACATCACTTCAGTGTTTCTTTATGAGTGTTAGGCTACAGTTGG